CATTGGAGGAGATACAGTCACAGGCGAAAGAGGCACAAGACGAAGAGAGCCCCGCACTTCAACCAGGCGAACAACCACGCAGCTTAGTATGCAACGAGTGTGGCAAGAAGTTCCGAGGCCAGTCACAGGCTGAGTTCCATGCGTCAAAGTCGGGACATGTTGATTTTGCTGAGTCTACGGAGGAAATTGCTCCGTTGACCGAGGAGCAGAAGAAGCAGAGACTGGCAGAGCTGCGAGAGAAGCTTGCGGCAAAGCGCGCAGGACTCTCGGAACAAGACAAGATTGACAAGAAGAAGAATGAGGTGTGTATACCTGGTTTTGGTCCTGGCAATTTAGTGACTAGAGGTATTTTGCTGACTTTTCCTATCAGGAAATCCGAAGGAAGAGCACCAAGGAAAGTCAAGATGCGAAGGAGGACCTCGAGCGGAAGCAACAGTTGAAGGAGGCAGCCAAGAAGAAGAAGGAGAAGCAGGATGAAATCGATGCCAAGAAGCGTATCAAGGCAAAGATCGAGGCCGACAAGGAGGAGCGTCGATTGAAAGCAGAGAAGCAGCGAGCTGAGCGTGCCGGTCTGGCTCCTCCCCCCCAACCCGCTGCCGCCCCGGCACCCACTTCCTCCGGTCCCGCTACTTCTAAACCTGCCTCCGCCTATACGGAAACTCGGTTACGATTCCAGTCATCCAAGGGTAACATCCTGAAGACACTGCCCGTTGAAACTACGTTGTTTGAGGTTGCCGCCGCGTTGAGGGAACAGGATGGAATCGAGGTTCAGAGCTTCGTGCAGACTTTCCCCAAGAAGGTGTTTGATAATGAGTTCTTCGGAGAGACTTTGAAGGAACTAGGACTGGTCCCTAGTGCCAGTCTCGTCATCCAATGATTGATGCCATACCCTCCTTCATCCCAAAGGATAGATAGCTTTTACAACGAATGAGAAATGAGATGAAATCCCGAGTAATGGCTTCCATATGTGAAAATCCCCAATAATCTCCGACTATCCTTAAAATAGTAATGTGTTTTGTTTACTTGAATCGGCTTGGTTCATGAAGCTCTAATCTTTATCTTATCGCGTTATCGTCAGGTGATGTCGCGATGAGCCGCGTGTTGGTGCCTGACAACGCGCTCGACACGCCGTCATTACATCTCTAATATCGAACTCGACACTCATCCACAACAGAACATGCCAGCGTGAGACCCAATACCCAGGACCTGGAAAATGTCATATCCCATGGAACCGAGCACTGATAGTGATAATCTCAGCGTTGGTGACCAACATCGCGGTGGTGCGGGATCTATAATGATGCCGAACGCTACAGGAGCCGCCACAGCAAACCCATTCGAGGAACCCCAACGCCGCATCAGCGAATACACTGCACAGGAGATTGCAACACTACAAGCCCGTCTTGATAAAAAGTTGGGACCCGAATACATCTCTGCGCGACCTGGTGCTGCGGGGCAGAAAGTGCACTATCTCTCTGCGGACAAATGCATTAACCTTGCGAATGAGGTATTTGGATTCAATGGCTGGTCCAGCTCAATCCAGACGATTCAGATTGATTTTGTGCGTTGATCATAGATTTATCAACTGCTTGGGGTTGGCTAACGCTTATCAGGTTGAGGAGAACCAAAACACAGGCAAGATCAGCTTGGGACTTTCAGTCATTATGAGAGTTACCCTGAGGGATGGAACCTTTCATGAGGTAAAGGGATCTCTTCGAGATATGGATTTTGGTGATTTGTTATATTAACTGCAACGCTCTTCTAGGATATTGGCTACGGGCATATCGAGAACTGCAAGGGCAAGGCCGCAGCATTTGAGAAGGCCAAGAAAGAAGGCACAACAGATGCTTTGAAACGTGCATTGAGAAACTTTGGCAACGTGCTGGGTAACTGTATCTATGACAAGGATTATGTGGCCAAGGTGACCAAAGTCAAGGCAGCGCCTGTAAGATCCCCGGTGTCATCCAATTTGTCATATGCTATGCTGACTATCAGAATAGGGAAGATGGGATGTTGAAGATCTCCACCGTCACCCTGACTTCGCGCCGCCTGCTAAGAAACAACTGCCTCCACCAAAACGTGCACCCGAAGAGGATGATCTACCCCTCCCTCGTCCTATTCATCAAGCGAGAAGCAATAATCCTGGGAATAATACTTCTTTCGAGGGGGATGGAGAGTTTGGCAGTATGTGTCAAGAATACACAATCTTGAATCTTGGCTAACGGTCTTTAGGTGACCTCTTTGATGAAGCCGACTTTGGAGTAGCTGAAACCGACATAGGCAATCCTGATGAGATCGTAATAGATACGGAGGCCCATAGAGAACAGCAGCGCCATGTGCCAACGAACGGTCCAGCGCCTCAGCGAGGACCACCTGTTCGAGCAGGATTTAACCCTGCTGTTGTAACACCATCAAAACCAGAGCGATGGAATAGTGCGGGCCAAGCGGGACGCCCTAACCCCCTTAATCCGCGACAGAATGCATCAGCTATCCCATCTCCAGCTCCGGTACAAGGTCGACCAATGGCCGCTCAAGGTCCTGCTCAAAATCTCGCAAACCCCAGACTATCAGTCCCGCCGCAACAGCCGGTGGGTCAGAATGCCCAACAAAACAACATCCCCCAGCCTACGGTGAAAAGGGAAACCGGTCCCGGCGGCTTTCAGGGAAATCAGGACATGAACCCACCACAAGGCACACCGTCAACGGGTTTCTATTCCGCTAGAGCAGTGGACCTCCTCCGTGAAAACCCAAACTCCGTCCCGCCGGGAGCACCTCAATTTGATCCACACGCAGAGAGTCCCTCCATCCGCAAGACGGCTGGTGTAGACCATACCAAAAGCATCCCTATTGCTAGGCCGATGCTGTCGAGCGCCTCTCCAGCACCACCCACCAATAACAACAACACACGCGATTTTGTCAATCCTGCAACGGATCTGCAGCGCAGAGTCGGTGCTCCTGGCGGTGGAATTAGCAGTCCGGTCAGCAGAGGTCCTTCTGTCTCATCGTATCGACCATTGACCCGGCCCAACATTGACCAAAGGAACATTTCCAACTCAGCCGCGATGAATCGAGGCAGTGTGCCACCCCAGCAGAATCTCAACGGGAAAAGACCTCCATTGGTAGACGTCACCAATGCCGATGCTACACCTGGCGCATATCCAGGGGTCCCAGCACCCGGTCCAAACGACCCAAAACGGCCGCGGGTCTCGGATGTTGACTCCTCTGGGCCTTCTTCTGGGCCTCGCCCACCAAGCCAGTAATGAACATGATCTGATTTATCTCTTGCGCCCTCGAGGAGGGTGCATTACCGCGCAATTTCCACCTACAAGCGTTCCTATTTCATCGAAATTTCTTTTTTATCTTCACCTCTGGCCCACGGCGTCATAATATGGTTATCACGGCGGGGAAATATGGCAGGCGTTCCGGAGTCCTCAAAGCAAATGGATCCATGGGATCCTAGCGGGGGAAAACACATGGGTTAGCTGGATATCTACACGTTTTTTCACATTGGCATATTTTATTTTTGTTATTCTAAAACGAACCTGGAGCATTCTGGACTTCAGGAGTACAATGGCAAGATTAGATCCCGGGCTTATGTCTCAGAAATATCAATCATATCAAAAATGAAACTCAATAACCCAACTAGTCCCTGCCACCAAAAATTGACAAAAGTACGAACCGGGATTGGAAGAGTCGATCCTCCTAAGATTGATCCCAAGAGGCCGGTACAACAAAAAGCAAGCAGAAAGTCTATCCGGATCTTCTGTCCCTTCTGTCCCTTCTGCCCCTTCTGCCCCCTCTCCCGTCGGGCCCGAGAGCTAGCGTGAAAGTACAGGGTGAATCTAGAACCAATCGAAAAAGACAACAGGCAGTAAACATGCAGACCCCAGCACCAAAGAAAGCCATGAATCCACAAGAAAATTTACCCGGGTGATTCCCATATGCATGGCAAACCCACAGCACCGGGTCGCAATCTTCACCGTCCGCCTTGTCGGTACGCTAGTATTAACGGATTAATGCATGACCTCATGAGAAACAAGGTCCATGGCCTAGTGAACAGTTCTCAATTGGTTCGGGGTTGGCGGATTGGTGCCTAGATCAGTGTCCGCAGGACAGTAGGGAAAAAAAGAGAGTGGAATTTCTCAAGGGTGTGGTACGGTGCGGTGCGATTTGTCCTTTCTGGTTCTTTTGCTTTTTTTTGGTTAATGGGGCTTTTTCATTCTTCCTGGCTTGTATTATACCTTGTCCCCGGCCCACGCGTCTTCTTAACGGGTGTTTGGGTACTCCGTGCCTGGCAACTTAATCCGAGGGCTTATAGGGTTGATAGGTTCATGTTCGGTATTATTTACCTCTCACTGATATCGCCAACCCTAAGCCGAGTATCGATTGCCTTGTGTACTAATAGTAATTAATTTGGGGATCTGATATCCTGGGCTTTTTTGACAGAAAGCCATGGGCCTGTTAAGTGCCCCTCTTAGGGCTTTCCCCGACTTGAATTGATGAATTGATAGGAATTAGAAAAAAAAGATCAAAAATCACGGAAATAAGATTTTTTTTTCAAAAAAATGAATCAAATTAATAAATTAAATAAACACAATAAAGATCTACAAATAGTGGGACAGGGATTTTGGATCGGGCCCCCAAGCCCAAGCAAGCTACTGCATCATCTTTGAATCCTCCAATGTCGTTAGATGCATACGACCAGAGAGGGGATCCGGGCCACAGAGGCGATGACCAAGTGCTGAGGCCACGAGTTGACCGATCGGCGCTTATTCTCCGGCTTCTCGCTTTCGTGGTGCCTATAGGATATTGTAATTCTGCACTGTCCGAGATGGGAAGTAGACATGGGTTTTCTTTGGTCGAGTTGCTTTGGCGAAGCTGATTGCCACATATCATTATAAGAAATTTTATGTTTAAAGAAGAATGGATATCCACGTTCGTAGGGCCATGATAATACTTTTCATTGTCAAAATCCGCTGCTCATAGGCATTATTCGAGACAAAATGTCTTCTTCGATCGGTCTTTGCTGGTCCTGTACTCCAGCAGCAGATGCTGTTGTTGTCGGTCTCAGTCTCGTCTTCCTTGCTCTGGTCTTGGTTATTTTATACTCGAGCAACTGTCAAGGGTACAAGCATGCCACAGACTTGACAATTACACAAGTGAGAGGCCTGAATAAACAATATAGTTTGAAGGTATTTTCTAACCTCCATAGGGAAACATGATCAACATCCCTACTTGGAAACGATCCTATGGCCTGGAAGTACAGCAGCCCTACAGGCGCAAATCCTATGCTTTCGAAGGTAAGTACACTTATTTACAACTCAGCAGAGTCTGTCTGACTAAATTAAATCTGGTTTAGATGTGTGAATGGAAAAATATTCAACGCAAGGCACACGGACCTGGTCTAGTGGCGGTGGAATTCATGGCATATAAAAATAGATTGATTAGGGTGACAGGGTATAACTAGGATATTCACAGAAAACCATCTATGTGCCAAAGTGCATGATTCAACGAGCATAGTCTAGTCAAAGTAGCCAATTTTGAAATTTTGATATGTCTCGTGCTGGGATTCCAGACACACTCGGTAGTTCAACATATCACAAACAGCAAGACAAGGGGATTTTCAACTTTTGCAAGCACCGCGTACATCACACACCACGTCAAGTTTACACATGCCGATATTGATATAACTGTCATGTACTTTGGCCAGACCGTTCTGTACTTTCCGCCGGATGTCGCTTCGTCTTTCCCCGATCGAGTTCCCGAATTTCAACGTCCCGAAACAGTTCCTGACCGCTGCAGCCGCAGCCAGACCGCAGCCAGAGGGTACATGAGTCAGAAAAGAAAAAAAGGAGAAAAACAAAAGGACGTTGACAGGTCCATTTGAGTACAAAAGTCCTAGAACGGCCGGAACGGGAAGCGTGTTCCCCGTCAAATAATGAAGGTTGGATATACTGGATTTGGTGAACTTATATGCAGCATGCCCGGGAAGGAGGTCTTTTCTTATTCCGCTGAATTGGAATAAATAGTCTAGGCGGATGCATAACCTGAAACGCATGTTTACTTTTCTTTTTCTTTGTAGTGTGGTAGATTTGGCCTATGCGGTGATTGGTAGAGTAGTGTGATATATCATATTTACACCCCTTTTCTTGTCTCTTACCTTGAATTGCATGATATTGTATTATATTATATTCTATGATATTATTCATATTATTTCTTTTCTTTTTTTGCTGCGTCACTATCAAAGAGTGAAGGGCGCCTGTGACTCGATTGGGATAAGCCTTTCCCCTGCGTGTCGCCTGGAATGACCGAACCACTTCCCTCACATCTCAAGGCTATGCATGTCTCCCCAAAAGGCGGCTGCGAAGGTAAGATTCTTCAAATGCACCTTGTTTTCAAAGCATATGCCAGCGAGGTGATTACAAATGTGTTCGGCGACTGCTTTCATTTTCTGGATAAGAATTTCGGTTATAATTTTGGATCCACGGAGTTGTGCGACACGTGTCTGAGAGGGATATTAATGCTGGTAACGAAATTATTGTGCCATTTCTGGCTAAGGGGACTTATTTATTGAGAGTTAGGGTTAGATATCGGATGGGACTCGGCGGTTCTTATTGTATTCTTTACTTCTACACTCAGTTAATAGTGAAACCACTTACCAATTATCACTAATACTCCCGATGGTATAATAGCTCCGAAGCCGATTTCCCCACATCACAATTGAATAAAAAAGTCTCCGAGGCCCCGGGGCCTCTTATGAGGCTGACCCGATCGGGTAATCAGGACACCCGCGCCTAGCCCAAATCGGGTCTACCTTTGTACTCTTTTGCTGTGGATCCCATACAAAAGATACATCAGGTACATTGAGCCGGTTGATCGGCGTTGGCACGGGTAATCAACATCTATAGTATAATCAACAGCTCTGTCGATTGGTCAAGATCGGAGCCGGGGAAATAAAGTACTATGTCATCACCATCTTCAGGGCTATAACGGACCAAAGTCCAAGAAACAAATAAACTGATGAATTCATATATAAACTTGCAAACCCTTTATATCTGAACTGTACTGTGCCTTCGATATCACCGTTATCTATAGAGGCCCCCCGAAATCCAAAATGGCCCGCACCGTCCTCATCACCGGTTGTTCCGATGGTGGCCTCGGAGCCTCCCTTGCCCTCGCTTTCCACGCCGCCGGTCTAAAGGTCTACGCCACGGCCCGCAATCCCTCTAAACTAGACCAGGTCACATCCGCCGGCATCGAAACCCTAACGCTGGATGTACTGTCCAGTGAGTCGATCAAGAACGTCGTTACCAAGCTTCCGAATCTCGACATCCTGGTCAATAATGCCGGCGCCGAGTATGTCATGCCCGTATCTGACGTGGACATCGCCGACGCTAAACGCTTATTCGATTTGAACGTCTGGAGTTACATCGAGGTCACGCAGGCGTTCTTGCCTCTGCTGCTGAAGAGTCCTCATGGCGGTTTGATCGTCAACCAGTCGTCCGTGGGCTCTGTCGCCGTACTGCCATTCCAGGGCGTGTACACAGCATCCAAGGCTGCTATTGCCATGTTATCTGACACTCTGCGACTCGAGCTGGGCGTTTTAGGGATCACTGTTGTCGACTTGAAGACTGGGGTGGTGCGCTCCAATCTGATCAAGAATCAAAAGGAGGCAAAGCCGCCAACTCTTCCAAAGAATTCGATCTATTACCCAGCGCGCGAGGTGGTGGAAAAAGCGTTAAGTCAGGATTCCTTTGCTGAAGGGGGAATGCCGACTTTGCAGTGGGCAACGGCGGTTGTGGGTGATTTGCTGAAGAAGAAGCCACCTCCTGTTATTTGGAGGGGAGAGCAGGCTTGGGTTGTGAGGCTGATTAGTGTCCTGCCATTTGGGATGTTTGATGGAATGCTGAAGAAGTTGACAGGCTTGGATGTCGTGGAGCAGATTATGAAGATTGCAGTATAAGGATATTGACAGAGAGGGATTTGCTGCTTCATTTGGAACTGCTCTGTTACCGTTGATGCTCGCGCCTGACATACCCATATATATATTCCATCCTACGGAATCCCCGTCTTCCTGGTCCTATAATGTACACTAGCTCCACGGTCCAAGAGGGCCTGCACGCCCTCCTCAAACCCGCTATCGACCGCAATATGCAGCGGCGTGCGCCCGCCACTATCATAAGCATCAATGAGTCCCTGGTGGCCCACGCAATAATCCAAAAGAATTTTCAATATCGCCTCGCGGCGATGAGTAACCGCAAAATGTAGCGCCGAGCGACCCTGGCGGTCAGTCTGGTCTATACACGCCCCGTGCATAAGCAGCAACGCGACAATTTCTTCGTGGCCGCCGATTATCGCATGAATTAGAGGCGTGAGCCCATCGCTGTCAAGCTCGTCGCACTCAATATCCTGCTTGAGTAACACGCGCATGATCCGGTGGTGCCCCTTCTGTGCGGCTATATGAAGCGCGGAAAGACAGCCTGAGTCTGCGTCGTCGCTTCTTGTTGTCCCGGAAAGGGGTGCGTTAGCACTAATAGCACTAGCGGGCGTTGATATATCTATTAGCGCTTTTGATAGGAGTTTTGTGTCGGAACTGTCTGGTGTAGTTCTGTGAGTGCTGCTGCTTCCGCTTGCGCTTGCTAGAGGACCTGGATGCCTGGGGTTGGAGTCTCGATCGCTGCCGGAGAGAGTATGCTCAGTGGAATCGGTGTTAGATATGCCCGGTGACGGGCCGGCAAGGAGATTTGAGAGGGTTGAATCCTTCAAATCGTCCATGTTTATGAAATTTTGGATGCCGATCAGTCCATTGGCGCCGCCTTGTAGGCAGTTAACCCCAAACCCGATGGGCCCGTCCGGGGATTTGATAGTGCTCGGGCATGTCGGCCAGGTTCCACTCGAGAACTTGAAAACGCTAGATGGATTATCGGTCGCCGATATGGGTGGCTCTAGGGTCTGCTGGGGTGGTTGATCTGCCTTGGCCTTCTGCTGGCTCTGCCGTTCTGGAGAACCGATCAGTACATGTACATAAGCCTCCGATGAGACGGGAGATCGACTGTTTGGCTACTTACGACGGAACCTGCGCTGAGCCAAGCGATTCTGCGTACGACGATGCTCGAGGTAATTTTTGGACTTTTTCATTGCCTCCATCGTCTAGTTTTTATATGATCGGGAAGTCAACACCTTTCACCTAATAATTTGTTCCACGGATTTGTACAAAGTACGAAGTACGGCGCCAGCTTTTGGAGTCAATACAGAGAATGAAGGGTAGGACAAGGTCAAGGTACGTTGCTATCATCCATGTCCACTAGTTAGCAGATTTAGTGCTTACCTCATACTATGTCTAGCCTACCTAGGTAAAGGGAATGTATCGTCTCACTGGGCAATATATTCCACCGAGTGGCCTCGATCGCCATCCCATATACCATATTAGTTGCGATAAATTACAAGTAGAATATGAGGACCTATAAAATTGACGCTGAAAAGGACCGCTTTTGAGGTCACCACCCATAACTTTAAACGTCCAATCACCAGGCAGGGGAAAACGAACGAAACGAAGAGATGACGATTTTGAATAGGAACGAGGAAACCTATAGAGCTGAATTCAAACCGTTCAATTTAAACCCCATAGAATGACTTCTATTTCTGATTTGCGACCCACGAACTCCAGTATCTTTCTGAAGAGACAACGAACTAGCATAGTAGAAGTATAACTTTTGCAAGATGCTATTACTATGATTTTTGCTTATTTCTCGTCCATCGACAGCCTATGGGTATTCTATGGGTGGAGCCGAGATTAAAATTCCTCGATCCGATTTATCCCAAATCTGGAGACTACACTACCGATGGAGTTTTGGCGCCTCGCCTAATATTCTAAACCCGCGATACCCGGGGGCCTTGTTAAGACTTTCCACCTACCAATCACATGCAACTGTAAGCAATCAAATCCCGAGGTTGATGAAAAGAGCTACATTTAAAAAAGCCCGATCTCATTGCGAGACCATCTTGTCAACGCCTACATCAGTTCCTAGCGGTAAAGTCATCTGCTTATTCTATCAAGTTCTGTTTCTATCACTGACAGTATAATCTATGGTTCATACAAAAGCCTTCCTTATTTGATATCTCTCAAAGAACCTTCCACAAAGATGTCACGGGATGAACCCCCTTCAATGCTATTTTTCGATGTCCTGGGGACAATTGTGGAATGGAGATATTGCATTGCGAACGAACTGAATGCCGCCGCACAAAAGGTTCTACAAGACCAAGCTCGATCTCCGAGTCCCGATATGCGAGCACGTGTCTCTGATATGTCCGCTTCGAGCTGGCAGGAGATCTCCGAGGAGTGGCATCGCTCATATATGAATTTTGGAGACAACTACGATACATCTAAGCCCTTTATGTCAGTAGATGAGTACAACCGAATTTCGCTGGAAGATATTCTCACCAAATGGCGTCTCCGGGATTTATTCAACGAGGACGATCTCAAACATTTGACGCTCGCTTGGCATCGACTTGACTCATACCCTGACAGTGCGCCGGGTCTTTCGTTGCTGAATACTAAATTTTCGACGTCTACATTATCCAATGGGAATGTTAAACTTCTCGAAGACCTACAAGGACACAATTCTTTGCCTTTCACGCACATTACTAGTGCAGAGCACTTCGGGGCTTACAAGCCGTCGCCAGAGGTCTATGATGGTGCTGCTCGCAGATTCGGTTTCAAGAATTCGCAATGTTGTCTCGTCGCAGCCCATCTTGAGGACTTGCAAGCGGCTAAGATATGCGGATTTCAAACAATCTATCTCGAGAGAGAGTTGGAAGAAGCTTGGGATAGTAGAGACGTTGCACGAGCCAGAGAAGAAGGGGTTGTCGATCGTTGGGTTGGAGTTGGAGGCTCGGGTCTGATTGAAGTTGCTCGATATTTTGGAATAGAAAGTGAATTGTGAATGGAATGACCGAGTCAGACCCTGAATCAATAGATCCAAATCCTCCATCTGTTCGGTATCTTCCCAACTACATGTCTGACTCCAAATCCCATCTTTTCCTTTAGCCCTGTGGAATAAACCGCCTACATCTACATTGAAGTGAAAGAGGAAGAAAAAAAAAACAATTACTTGATTGAAGGTTCAAGTATTTGGTTAATCATACACAGCCCGTTAAACGATCATTGATGTTTCGCTTTTGAACAATTGAACAACTGAAATATGAGCCCGGGAAAGTGAAAGATCTCAAAGCTCAACTAGGCCATAGAATGGATGAAAGCGACATTGAAGTAGAAACCATAGATTTTTAGAGCTGGCTGAGGCCAGCAGAAGAAGAAATCCACTGAAACTCAGACTCTGGAACTTGTATGCTGTTGACTAGCGGCGAGATGGGTTGGAAGGGAATGAACCAGTAGTCCTCGCTTTGGGCTGGAGAATTTTTGCAGGGTCAGGCATCGAGAACAGTCGACCCGGAGCTTGGTGGGACGCTGGATCACTGGATTGACTCATGGAGCTCGAAGCACGGTTTGTAACATTCAATGAGGGCCGATTCTCAGTGTTGACGCGCTGGACGGAAACAGTACGAACGTGGGCTGCTGAAACATCGCGCAATGTAGTTTGCTCATATGGAGAAGGGGCAGGTCCAATAACACGGGGTTTGTATGGTGCAGGGCCGATTGTACGAACACCGGCTGACTGAGCATCCTGTTGCTTGGGGATGTTAGGATGATTCGCGCTCAACCCCCGAGTCGTGGTCTGTGATAGCACCGCATTAGGCCCAAAAACGTTAGAATTGGAAGTGACAGGGCCTACAGGTCCTGCAAAGATCGAATCGTTAAGAGTCCGTGGCCTTTTCATTTCCTCCTTTGAACGTGACACCATGGCGGGAGTAACCTGAACAGACGCATCAGAGGTAGTGCTCTTCTTTGGGATATCCAGCGGACGAAGTTTTGGAACAGGGATCACACGTTGCGGCTGGAGGGGTGCAACCAATTTGTCTGAGACCTGAAGTGATTCGAAGTGCGAAATAATGTCGGAACTCTCACTCCTGGTTGGCGAGAGGCCGGGCACACGTACCTTGTGCGCGCGTTTATCAGCAGACGGGGGTGAGTTTGAACTGGAAGAAGGTGGGGGCGGCGATCTGTGCCCCTCAAAGGGGGTAAGGTCGCGCCGGGCAGCCGAGGGAACTTCAGCAGTGTTAGTCCCATGTTGCGATGCTGAAAGGTATTCCACAAGTGCCACCAGATTACCCAGCCGGTTCTCTATATCTGAGGCTATAGGTGCTGCAGGCGGCGGTGCATATGCCGTAGGGACTAGCTGGAGCAATTTAGATTCAAGTATTCGTTCGATATCACGGGTAGTGGCTAGGTCTTGGGGCGAACGAATGTCTCTGCGGATGTCGCGAAGCTCTTCAATAATCTGCGGACCATAGGTTCCAAAACCGTCAAGTTCTTGACTCTGATTATCGCGGCGAGCTTGCGCCTCTGGGGCCTCATTGCTCGTTGTTTTGGGAGCAATGACTTCGTCAATACTCTTGACACGCACTGAGCCCCTGGCTTTCTCGGCAAACTTAAGACCTGCCAATTCGGCAGTCCCTGGACTCTGGATGGCCACTGCTTTCAAAGTGTGAGGGGCTTTCGCTGCTGCATTAACGGGAGAATCATCATCGCCGAGAAGATCTTGAGACTGCTGGGCTTGCTGCATGGTTTTCCCCTTCTGGCTATCAGGAGGAACATTCTGCTTGTTGTCTTTGATTCCGCCGACCTTGCTGACGGGTGACTTCTTAGACTCGGCGAGGGGCATGTAGCTTTCAGATGAGACTACTGATTTGCTCAAAGGAGCCGTGCCCTTCTTTCGTGGCTCTTCGCCGGGCGAAACCTTCCATTGAATGTCATTCACGGCGATTGCGACCACTGGTGGATAAGGAGCCCTGGAGCCTGTCGCTATGTCTTTCAGTCTTTTAGACTTGGCACTTCGTTGTATGGAGACAGAATGAGATGATGGTGGGGTTGCTTCTACTGGAGGGGGGTTGTTATGTGGCTGAGGAGATTTGGGTGTATCAGGCTGGACCTTGCGGGGTTTGAAAGATGCAGTCTGATCAAGAGGAACAACACGAGTTGAAAGGGGTGTTTCCACTACATAGGGTCCCATTTGGGGCTGGGAAATCTTGGCTGCGGTGGCAACAGCACGAGATGGCGTCGTCTTGCTCTTGGGTGTACCACTCAGAGGGATTTTGATATTTTGCTCGATTGACGGAATAGACTTCTGTGCAGATGCAGCCTTCTGCATTGGAGCAGAGACAATTGTGTTGCTAGATTTCTCGTATGTTTCAGTCGCTCGGCGAGACTGAAATAAGGACATAAATTCTCCTGGCTCGGAGATTCTTGCTGCGAAGTTTACACTGGTCAAGAAGTTAACATAGAAGCTTCACCAAAAGAAGTATAATCACCCACCCTGGAGGCGGCCGCTTGAGTCTGCTAGGGGTGGACGGAACTAAGAACGTTGTCAGCTGTGCTCTCTTTCTGTGCTGGTCATCAAAACGTACCATGGGCCTGCTCCTGGGCGTTGCCCCTGCCCCTGCCCCTGCCCTTGCCACGTCCACGTCCCCTTCGTTCGTGAGGATCGATTTCGTTGTTGTTGTAGTTTAACGCAGGGTCCAAGTGAATGCTGGCCGACATTGTAGTCGAGCGACCGCGCGGTCCCAGACGTCCTGGGCGACCAACATTTCCACGAAATGTGGCTCTGTGATTTCTCTCTCGTCAATTAAGATGTTTTCAAGGTCGGAGTAAATCAACTTCTTACCTTGCAAAAGCCTGAGGAAGATCAGCAGGTCCCATAGGGGGAGGGGGGACAAAACCACCTCGTCCTCTCTTTCCCATGACACCACCTCCGCGACCTGCAGATGGAGGTGGGTAAGGGTGATTGGCATAGGTTCGTGGCTGACTTCCATTGGCATGCAACATGGCATGCAAAGTAGCGCGGTGGGACTGGCCAGAATTTATGTCGTCGAGGTCTTCCATGCCGTGAGTGTCTCCAATCTCAGTGTGCAAGTCTGAAACAAAATCAAGTTAGTACAAAGTCAAAGGGGCACAGGAGTGTTTTCTTATTTGGCACTTACTTGCCCATTTGCTCAATTGAGCTTCATCTCTCTGATCCATAAGTCGCTTGGATTCAATGTCAACAAGCTGTGAGCGAGCCTGAGTCTTGATATCGGCGGTCGAAATCATTTCACGCCGAGCGGTTCCTAGGTCCGCCTGTTGATGCCGCTGGTTAGAAAGGTCCACGAAGAAGTGGGTGGGGCTGGATATCACCATTTGAAGAATCTGCATCTTGCGGAGCTGCTCTGCGGATTCACTCATCTTGCTGGTGCGCTTCCCGTGGCGGGTGAAGCGCCGAGAACAGTAATATGAGGATAATAGATGCGGTTATCTGGCACGTAGTTTTCAACGTGTCACCGGGTCGGGACTTTGCTTTGGCTGGCCAAAGCACGAAGGGTGAGGGGGGAGTGAGAGGAGGGAGGTGGGAGGTTAGCTCAGAAGTAATGGCCCCTCGAAGGAAGGGCAAATGAAAAGATACTTTAAAAAGCACACGCAAGGTCCCAAAGGGACAGACGACAAAGGGGGATACTCTGTGGACTTGAAACTCTGGAAAGTGAAGGAGACAGAGATGGTCAACTTGCAGAGGGTTTACCAGATACAAGGACTGTGAGAACCACTATGGCGTCTCAAACCAGAGTGGACTAAGCGAGAGAGAAAAACGGGAGAGAGAGTAGTTATAGAAGGAAGAAAGAGAGAAGATGGGAAGAGGATAAATAAATGAACAATCAGGATCAGTTGGGATCAAAGACGTGACGCGTCTGTGAATACGCAAACAATTGGAATTTGGTAGGGGCAATGCTGTATACTGCGTTTCCAAGGTCGCGACTTGTCCGTCGCACCTTCCATCGAGGTATTTTGGCCTTGGGGACTGACATGTCCACGTGCGAGTCATTTTAGGACAGGTGAAAACGTCCACGTGATAGTGAAGCCCTATAGATATACCCGTGGATGTCAGAGAGCCATTGATAAAAATCGTGGAGTTTGGGGATGTAAAGAGTGAGCGGAGTTGTACAAGTTGTAGAAGACGAGAAACGAGGCAGACGGGCCGCGAAGCCGAAGTTGGGAAGCGCATGCGGCCAATCGCTGGCACGAGGAGGGTGTTCTTCGCCGTACTTGGTTTAACTTCAGGGTATATCTACACACTACCTGCCTACATAGGCACACAGTCACCGTTGAAGTGCCCGCTACCTATCCTGAGACATCGCAATTCACTCCTACATAAACACCAGCATATAGCAATTTGCGAATGGGATTATTGTAGCGTATTATACACAACATATATTTGTTCAAAGTGGGTAAATATGTACATAGCAACACGGCTCCAAGGGACTTCTCGGGCACCCTGGGAGTGGAAACCGCCGCCATCTGTGGAAATTCCTCGATAACCCCGTCTAGGGTGCACTGCAACTATGAGCCTCGCCGTCATCTGCAAAGACAAATTTGAATGTTAGTGCCTGTGTTGAGGGTGCGACCAAATAGCCATTCAATTGAGTCCAATGAGAGCCATTTCCCGGGGTAGACTTACTTCGAATGATCTTGATGACCGCCTGCACTAGACTAACACCCATCACAAGCACCCCAAAGCAGATGCATAGATACGCCGGGATCTTTTCTCGCCGCGTAGCACTGCTAAGTTTGATGTAACAGAGAGGAGGGAATATATAGGCTAGAGCAGCAGCACTGGTCGCGCCAATGAGCTCAAACACACTTCCCAGATCACAGGTTATCAAGGACAACACCATCGAAGTCACCACCAGCGCCGTTGTGAAGATAACATGCCGAACGGTGTTGTGCGGCTCATCGGGGAAGTAGTAGGTTATCATGACGGAACGACAGACAAATGCCTCAAGCGGTAGTGTAGTCAACATGTTCAAGCCAAAGCAACTAGTCAAGTCAGCCAAGAAACTAAATATCAGAATCAATGGGGAAAGTGTACAATCGTGCGATGTTGACGACAATATTGTCTGATGGGAAGTTGTTCAGAACGTTGCCCTGCGTTTTAGACCCGAAGGACAGGAACCCTGCGATGCCCATTGCTAGACACATCACTAAAGATATTCCTGTCGAGTAATGTGTGACCCGGGTGAAGCGGTCGAGTGTCGGCCTTTTCAATGAGCCGTAGATCAGAAGACTGTTGTGGTCTGTGGAAATTAGCGATTGTGATATCAGGAGGATAAAAAGGAACATACGACAAACAAAAGCTGAAAATTGTTAGCAGGTTTTTTTGAACTATTGACAGGGACAGCTAAAACTTACCAAAGGAAATGACCCCGACAGCTTGAAAAAAGCCAGTGTTGAATATGAGGTGGCTTTTAATCTCGCCACGCGATTCAGGCGGGACCCGGAAGCCTTGGGTGATGACCGTGACGACAATGACTACCATGCTAATCAATGCTAAGGCGGATGCTTTCGCCAGCTACCTGACCGTTAGTCTTTGATAACTAGTATGGGAGAAAAAAGATCTGACCTTGGCAATGTCTCTATACAAAGACAATGGGTATGAAACAACCAAAACAAAGATAACGATAACGGCCCGGCGATCCGTGAGGAGCCATAGGAAGGACATATCCTGAAGAGATGGAAACAAAGCGCCTAGGACGTGTGGAATAGTATCACCAACAATAATACAGAATGCGACCATCCCGCCGAATGCAAATGCCCACTGCGCAACCGAGATCGCGATGAGACCGCTTTTCCCGAAGCAATGTTGCATAGTCGCCTGGAAAGAATCCGCCCCACTCAACTTAGAGTTGATCACAATCAATCGAATGGTCCAATCCACTGTGATGGTCAAGGCAGTCAACAGCATAATCCCCACCGTCATACCTGCCTGGCGAAGCGCGTAAGGTTGCCCAATGATTCCAGCCCCGATAATACTGTTGGCCATGTTCATGAACGCCATTTTCATCCCACTCCGCGGCCGCGCATCTTCGAGATGGTCTTCGGGGAAGAAATCGTCTGATGTCGCAAGTGTCACACTAGGCGCTTCAATATTTGTGAGAAGAGGGATTGATTGTCCACTGTGATGTGTTCCTGGGCCCCCATTTTCAAGTTCATAGTCCTCATCCTCCAACCACAGTGTGTCATCCGGACTGTCGTCTGGGCTGAGAGCACGCTCAATGGAAATGCGATTGGGGTCTTCGAGCTCTTCCTCCAGGTTAAATCGAACTCGATTCATGGTGCGCGGTGTGCGGCGCTTTCCATCGGCCGTAGGTTGAGAGATTGCGGAGTGGCATTTGCCATTTGTCGCGTTACTCGGGAGGATCGGCGACGGAAGGGGTTCCGGGTGGAAAGCTAAATCGTGCTCCTCACTTGAGGTAGACAGGAGTGATTGAGCTTCATGTTCATCCTGGCCATTCTGGGCATACAGGTGATCCTTTGACAACTCATCCCCTGGCATCGCTGACCTTAGATAGTTGAAAGTGCTACAGTTACTTTCAGGCCACCTGGATGGGGGCCACACGTGATAGCTTATCGATAAGGATTTATTTGGCACGATAAGAGATAACAACGGTTTACCACGTGCGCGTCAACGGGTACAAAGAGGATCCATGGATGAGTTTGATCCTATCAGGGATGATTATGAGGAGGAGGAAGAAGGTCTATCCGGGATCGAACTTCCTACCGCTCAATGGCATGGTTTACGAGTGTTGGGAAAAAGAAGAGCTACTGAGGATCAGCTGATTGGGCTGGATGATGAAGAGATTCCTCTACCTAATAACAGCCACCTACAAGGGGGAAGTAGCACACAGAGGTGCTCATTAGGGCGTGTTCCAAAAAGGATAAGAGAAGATGCAGATTTTTTATATAATTAGATTAGACGCATAAGTATTAACGCATTAAGAAATTGTCCAAAAATTAGCCTTTTCAGCAAAAAATAGTGATATATAAACATATGGCTATAACCTATGTGTTGAAAGTGAAATACTCAAATACTGGCGGAATCTGCATAAAATATACATATCACGGGGTGTTCTACGTTTGCCTTGTTTGTAGGACCGCAATACTGGACCAGACCGCAGTGGTGCGGTTCTAAGGGATCAACGGCTTTCCCTCGTAGAGATTTCTTTATAAATTATTGTCTGTTCAAGTTGGGGGAATTTGATAGCAGCGAGCAACAGTTCTTAAAGAGTCAGTGATTGCTATTGCGTCCGGATATGTCGAACATTTCGCGAAATTGGCATGTGACTAAGACAGTCAAAATGATCTCATAACCGAAGGATTTTAGACCCAGCGAACTGTTTGCGTGAACCGGCTTTCGGATCCCAACCCCATTGCTTCCGCGGAAGGCTTGGCACTTGGCATACTTACGCTCCCGTGCTGGCCATGATGGGCGCTAAGCATTCGTGCTTTATAGGCCAACCACACTCGTGGAGGTATAGTCGTAGCCTGATATTTTCCCTTTTGTCTGGCAGAAGGGTGGTGATGGACCGCGAACTGTATCGGGCTGCTAGCTATCGGGAATGTAGTCAGTAATTTTCTCAGCCAGATCACAGATAGATTCTCGATTAAGAGGTCGGATTAGAGGCCATTTTTGCCCTAAATTTTCATCTCTAGATTTAGGGTTGTGTGAGAATGACAACTAATAAAAAAAATGAGAGCCTTGAAGTCGGCCATCTAAATCGACCGCGTTCTTCCAGCCCCAATCAACTGATGGCCCTCATTATTTTTTCCTGACCACGAACATTAGATACCAACAGCCCCTACTGTTTAAACATCTTGTTATGACAATTCGGTGTGATTTTGGCAGGCTACCCATGATCTGGGATCCAACTCCTGCAAGGCGTCTCGGTAAATGTAATTATCCATCTATCCATACTGGCAGCTATACATGACATTTTGTTGTCTCTCTCTTACATCACTCCTTTATTGATCTTGTTAGTTTCAATGCATTTTGGCGGGTATAAAGAGGAGTTCAGACTTAAGGAAGAGAGGGATAGATAACACTTCTTAATATAACTTTACCTGGTGAATACCATACATTTCTGATCACCATTTGTTATCCCGTAAATGTCATAGCTTCTCGGTTGATCCCAACAACAATTTCCGGAAGAACTGTAGATAGCGCGCATATAAATCACATTAGAGTTCCCAGTTTTTATTATTTACGTAAAAAAAACTACTTTTCTCCGCGGTTTGTTACCTGCTTTTAAGCCACCAAAGTAGAGCTTCTGGATATCTCAAACAGATAGACTGAAATAAGACCAAATATCCTCAAAATGAAAATCGGCTTTTAAATGAGCCGTAGTCCAGCCTTTCCAACGTCCATTTGAAGAATTAGAACCATCAGGGCCAAAGGTGAGTTCTTCAGCTGACACACTATCGTATAGCTTTCCATGTGCCGCCACAGTTGCAGTTCGGCCATCATAATCCACGTAAGTGGTGCCAGGGCGCTCAGAAATAAGCTTCACAAGGGCCAATTTAACGCGTTCTGAGAGTGAATTCTTGAGGTCGTCCATAGAAGGATGTCGGCCTTGATGTTCGCCATATAAATCTGTGGAAAAGGTTTTCGTATTAACAGACATAACTGCCTCTTCAAGGGGTGATTGAGGTTAGTTGGATAATTGTATGGGTTATGAACTTGTTCGATACTAGAATATGGGCTTGGGATGCCGGATTTCTAGGGCGAAAGAGGAATAATTTATAGATATAGGGGATGTCCGGATCCCTCTGATAGCATTTAGGTTCTCGACCATGTCATCGTCAGCCTAGATTTCTAGCCACCAGCATAACGAATAGGCCTGGTTGGAATTGAAAACTTAAATGTTACAGAATGGGGCATAGAGGGCAAGTAAAGGATCGGTAGCACCAGACACTGCTCCACGGTTACTTGATTACCAACCGGCTAGTCACAACAAAGATAATCTAGATGAAAGAAATGAGAATTTCAACTTCTATACCTGCTTGCGGTAAATATTGACTAACTACTGACTAAATAGTATTACGGGATCGATAAAATTCCAGATCCTGTAGACAGGAACCCACAAAACAATCAACGTATACAATCGTTTATACTTGAGATATAAAACAAAATTTGATGTTAATCACATTTAGTCATTAGGTCAGAAAGTCACTTGAACTTGCCCCTAGATTAGACCAGATCATCACGATTTAGGTCGTGATGATAAGTTCCAAGCATTCACGGTCTTCTTCCCTGGTTGTGCATTCGATTCCATCACAGGTGCCATGATCTAGGCTTCGCCCTATCCGGGCGGGCACCGTTTGCGGATAAAAAGCGGGTCCGCGTGGGAAGATCCATGCCGTTGAATTAAACTAAACTTTGTTTGTCGTCAAAAGTAGATACTCCCAATGCCTAGATGCCAATGACTAAAGCTTATTTTGATTTCGTGAGCTATGCCAGACACAACCAGGTCTCTTGGTACGCATAATTCTTAGCAGCACACGATACTGGTACGAGGTGCTAATGATGTGGAGTTCATAGTAACACTATAGCATTATAATGCTATATGACGTTATGCATTCTAGTGTTACCCGAATGCCATCAGGCGGGACGAAGCTCAGGCCAGTCAGGATATCGATAGTATCGGCGCTTTTCGATATCTGTGTAACCATAGGCTGTTTCATAAATAGGGTATAATCACTTGATGTTAGCTGAAAACAGATGTCTCAGATACTTAATTTGCTAACTTAGTCGCATACTTGCAGAGTAAGGATTGGTTTCTTGCACAGGACTCGCTAAAGACGCAGCTTATTATGGAGCGCCACTGATGTGGGAAAGTTGTTAGACCTGCGGGTGGTTCTTGGTCGGGCTTCGAAGGATCCTGAAGAGGAAAACATGGATTATTTGTTGTATATTAGGGACTATAGCCACGGCCAATTAGGGTGGGCGGAAGGAAAAACCGCTATGAGACGCTGGTCTGGTGCAGATAAACTGCCTATCAGATTGTAGGCAGGTATTCAAGCTGGACCCGTCTCCTCTAGGTTCTCCGTTCGCTATCGTGAAAATTGCGTTGAGATATTGTTTCTTATAATATATTCAATACTTTGTAAATTTCAGAATCTTTCGGTAGTCTGTAGCAAGTAAGCTACAAAAAAAGATCTTTGTCTAGCAAACAGAAATATCTGCAAGCGCAGTGAAGGTTCCCGATCGTACGCTCGTGCCCACGTAGTCTTGAATTCTCTGACGTAAGTCTCTTCTAAAATCCCTTCCAACATATCTATTGCTTATTCATTCTTCTTATGCTGTAAATAGGCCGTATAAGTTCTTTGTTTGCTATCGGATGCACTGTTGTTTCTTATTCGCTTATTCTCACCTTTAGTAGTCTTAGTATCATTAGTTACTCTGTAGCAAGCAAGCCACAAATAATGGTGTTTGTCTTCAAAAAGAAATCTAACTGTGAGCGTAGCGGAAGGAAACGATTTGAGAGTCATCACACGCTCGTCAATCTTTTGCACCCTTGAGTGTGCTCCCGCAAAGTTAAGGTTTCGGCCGCAGCCACAAACCTTAGTTAAAGTCAATCTGTCTTAGCTATTTGACCGATTTATTGATCGGGACTAAATTTAAAAATGACACAGAGTACCTAGGTAAGCAACAACTCCACCGTTTTTGGTACAATCCAGGGTACTTTGTTCTGCGTAAAAGAAGACTCTGACAATACCATTTGTGTATGCTCATTATTCTTACACCCGCAATTGTCTATGACTGCATGTGCATAGTGAACTCTTCCTAGATTGCGCGCTTGAGAGGGGGCTGAATCCTCCGAGCGTGCATTAAAATAATCTGCAAACCCCCAGACTTTGGTGTAGACGTCGGGACTGGTACAACTAAGAAGAAATGGTTGGTTTACAAGATTTTCCGCTTCTACCAGTTTTTCCAAGTCACCTGCAAACGAATCAGGCTTTGTGTCAATCACGATAGTTACGTCTTCATAAATGACAATGCAACCTATACGTTAATAAGCCAGGTATGAGATGAACTATGGTTCTCCGATCCTAAAGTTTGTTATTTGACTCTATAAGTTAACGGTAGATTCGGATGGGATAATAGCTGCTTTCGGCATCTTTATGGTCGAGGCCTAGAACTCGTCATGGTCTAGATCACAAATTCTAGATAAAAGGCTTAAGCTTTTTAGAGTAAGGTGACATATGTGTTAGGTTTATGCGTAGACTCGAAAGTCACGCCTTGTTATTTATTACTGAACGTTGCTTATGTTCGCCGATAACTAACGGGCTATGTCGGACTATAAATATGGGTAAAGATTCTTCTCAATAGCTAGAAATCACCAGGGCAAAGATCATCCGATACTTCTAAAACCCAGTTACAATACCATTGATAACAGACAATGTCGCCGCCAGTTGACGAAGTCCGCGCCGGTATGCATGACTACCTTATGATTGATCCTAGCTAACTCAACTAGGTTTTGTTGTCTCCGTGACACAGGAAGAAAAGAGGGAGGGAGAGCCAACTATCTTCAGCGCCACGCAAATTCCATCTGTCAATTCACTGCCCGTAGTTCCTCCTACTAGCGCCAAAAGTACTCAGAGCATTGATTTCTCCTTCGGGCCGGTCAAGGAAAGTTTGCAGATTCCCTAAATTCCATCATATACTGACTTTTCAGATCATTGGCTACATCGATGTTAGCAGTTTGGAAGTGGGTGTTAGGGTTGAAGTGTTTGGGGCACATATCCTCAACCTTTATGGCAATTTGAAAGACGGCGTTGTGGGAAAGATTGACCTCTTCCTCGCAGAAGGAGAGATCCGTCTTTATCTAGATAATGGAAACGGTACAGTCAATTCTAAATAACCCTTCCTGCCCTTATATCTATTTAATTTGCTGATATACAGCACAGAAGTGTGGCTTCACTATGACGTGAAAGTGAAGTTTGATGGCAATTTTAAAGATGACATCAAACTCTTGACTATTTGAGTCAGAAGAGTGAAGCAGGGGGGAGAGAACAAGAATAATCGAGCTGTGAAATTCGTTGCCTTCGTCAGTTTGAATGGATTTCATTGTTGATCTGTTCTATACAGTGATCAGCCCCGTCCATAAATCTTATTGACAAACGGACGGGCCTCCTGTGGTTTGAATTTATTGGAGATAGTAGCTTTCAATTCCAATTACGAGTTGTCCAAAGCCTTATTCCAACTCTCTATGTTCAGATCTAGACAAATTGGAATGTTTTACTGGTGACCTCACGCAGTCTGGAGGGACAAGGTGCGTGTAGTTTGGCTGTAACGGGTCACCTGTCGTTGTGGTCTTATACGAAAACGCATTAGACCGTGGCGTCAGATAGAGCCCAAATGACCCGGGCCAAACTAGGATGGTCGAGGGAACTGTGGTGGAACTAGTAGAGACAGTGGAGCCGGCTAGCCTGTCTGAAGCTGGTGTTTGAGTTTGTACAAGACCGACGCGTTCGTCGTGAAATACATACTGAATGCGTCTGAGGTCCATCTTCCGAGAACCTGAATCTAGTCATCGAGAATCCCACTATCGTGCGCATATTGAGCCGCACCCTTCCGAAAACTGTGGCGCGGGTATCCGTTCGCCTTTAACCCAAGGGCTCTCAGCTTAGTAGATAAGGCAGAGAGAAAATTGTTGCAACTGAATGGCTTTCTATGGAAGGAGAACAACGGGGCCTCTGGTCCTCTAGCAGCTTCTGAGGCGCGTTCACCGGGCACGCTCCGTCTCCTGTTTTTGCAAGAATGATTTGCACCCATTCGTGGCGACGGTCCATTTTACTCCACTTGAGCGTGAGTTGCACATGGTGTAACGAGGACGAGAATATGACGTCAGAGCGCGTTAGCTTTGCTGCTAAGAGGATAGAATGTGTGCCGAGGTCGTCTGCTTTATAGGTGAATTCTCCGAGGCGGAGGAACCCAGCAAACGCAACCCGGCAGGCGGTTGCGAAGTTCAGGTCATCTAGGAGGTTCATAGTCATTTCCGAGGGCTGCAAACAGAGTGGCTGGCTACTGTGACTCCGTACATTTTCAGAAAAAAACATGCACGTAGTAGACCCGAAAGTGTCTAGGCTTATGCATGGCGTCTTCTAGCAGCCAGTGCGGTGAGATAATGATTGAACGAAGCCGGAATACGCCGTGAGCTGAAGATCTTTTGTGGATGACATGTCAAGCTATTCGCAGATCAAGAGCAATTTAGCACTGGAGCTACTTACCGATCCACACGGACTTCTCGCTAGTCATCCCCGAGAGTTATCGAGCAGGGACCTATCGAGTGTGAGTCGTGGGTCTAGTAGGCTAGGTACGCGAATGTCGGAACATATCTATATGTACATCATACATACTTTTGTCTTTAAATAAAGCGTGGGCAATTTTACCATGAGATAGAGAAATTCTAGAACCTTTCTTATGGTTTGCGGAACCTCCACTTGCCAATCCAAGAACATTCCTCGAAGATATGGTCCCTGTCTCTGAGTCTTATGGAAATAGACAAATAGTAGAGTATAATTCATGTCTCTATGTGGCTTGCTACGTCGATATGAAAATCTGCCTAGTTGGATTACTTAGTAGGGATCCACGAATACCATGGTCCATCCTACATCGAGTTATGTGGCACTGGGTTGTGGCGAGCTGAAACCTGCCCTGGAAATATCCATTTTTGTCCGTTTTTGCCGATGGGTACCACGTCAGCACAGTGGAACTTGTAAAACTACGCGAGATATCTACACAAGGCCCGGATAACAGCTGAATATGGGCTGAATATTTGAATCATGACATCATGTCATGGGTACATGTATTCGTCGATCAGAAATAGACGTATTCATAAATGAAACGTATATCATTCTCTCAGCGCTCTTGTTTTATTCTAACCACCTGCCCGAAGCATCCATACAACTTTGAAGATACCTTGGAAATGGCACAGACACAAGTTCCGGTAAAGGACTATTGGTCTACAGAGGTTTGTAGTCATGAACTCTTGTCTTATATTGTATGCGCTGATCAAATTTAGACCTATGCAGCTGCTGCTTCTTTTGTCCCCCATTTTGCAGACCCTCGTCCAAAGCATAGAATTCAATCCGACGGATAAAGTTCTAGATATCGGATGTGGTGATGGCAAGTTTACCACCAGCTTTGCTTCGTCGGTCAATTATGTCATGGGCGTCGACTCTTCTCCGTCCATGATCAACACGGCCAAGACATTGGACTACGGTGAAGCGGCCACGGATTTCCGCGTTGTTGATTGTCGGCACCTTGAAGAAGATGCAGAAGTTATGAATGGTAAATGGGATAAAGTGTTGGTATTCGTGATTTCACTTCCTGATGGAACCTTGCTAATAAAACTTAGCACTTCCAATGCTGCATTCCATTGGATCTTGAAAGACCCATCTACCCGAATCTCCACATTGGAAAATATATTTCAATCAATGAAGCCCGGGGGCACGTTCTTCTTCGAGATGTGCGGACATGGAAATGCACCGGAAAAAGTCACAGCATTTATGTTCGCTCTTGTCAACCATGGAGTCCCAATTGAGACAGCGGAGGCTATGTGCCCTTGGTTTTATCCGTCCGACGTCTATATGAAGAGCATCCTTGAGAGCGTCGGATTCCAGGTTAAGATGATTGAACTTAATCCACAACCGCTGGAGCTGACCACCTCTGATAACGGTGGACTGGAAGGATTTATGAGACTGATCGGCGCTCAGATGCTGGATATTTTAGATAGCGAGGAGAAGAAGAACAGTGCGATGGAGCAGATCTGCCGAATGCTTCGCTACGGCACCACAAGAGAAGATGGGAGCCAATGGATTACCTACGCTAGTCTGAGGTGTGTTGCTATCAAGCCATGATCAGGGTTGAGCAACAATCTTCAATCCAAGCAAGATCTATCTATGGATATGAAGAACCTAGCTTCTCAGCTCAACTTACGCCAAAAACTTAAAGTCTTGAATATTATCATCAGTGAAAGTAAGCTGCTCTTTAAAAATAGGGTGCACGCCTTCTAGGGCAAAGGGTCTTGGAAGTCATGTGCCCCGTCGGTGTACTGTAGGTCATAGCCACATCCGGTCCGACGATTCCTTTCCCCTTTCAACACCCCACTAACCCTGGAATCGCTCCTTTAAATGATTGTCTCAATTTATAAAAGAACAGTATAATGCTTTGGCGATGAACTCCCTCCAAAATGGCACAAACACTCGATTTGGGTCGATCCACTTTGCGGATCCGAGATTCAAAGTTGCAGCTTCATCTGGCCGCATCGGCTCATTTCACCCAACCACCAAGCCATGGAACTCCCCAAATACGAATTGACCTCGCACAATTCTCAAATCTTGAAAGTGTGTGGATAACGGAGGCACCGGAGCTAGAGCTGCGCTTCTTCGTCGGAGGAAATTGGGATCGAGATAAAGTAGCGATATTCGTCTCTAAACTAAGCAGCAAACTCTGTGATATTGAGGTGCGTGCGGAAGAGAATTTACCAAATTGGAAACTGACTATTCCTTGGTCTAGATCTGGTCGGATTTGGGATTCTCCGTTGAGCTCAAGACGGGCAGACGTGAACATTGCGTTGACACTACTGGTTTCCACTGCCTCGAACTTGCTTTGCATAGAGAGTGTCGAGTACGGAAAAACACAAGGGGTCGGGCTTTGCCTAGTTCGATGACCAATCCCCCAGACGCGTGCCCTCCATCCGGTGTACCGGTTGCTACCTTGGCTTCAATTGACATTGAGGTGGAGTATCGATTTCAGGCAAACGATGTACCACAAGCCCAGGACTGTTCCAAGTTGGAGCTTGGTCTTCTTCGGCAAGTTCAATCGGTTGTCGCCGGTCCTGGAGTGCTAGAGAGAATAACAGAATCCGCATTCCTACACCCAATGCATAACAAGGGTTCCTCTGAAGTTCTTGGACCACAGACGGCTTACATATCTGGAGATGAATTAGACCCATCATGTGAAGAACTCTTCTGTTTGTTCGACCTTGGAATCCACAGATTGGTCATTTCCAACTTGATCAAAGATCCCGCGATTCTTGCCTCACAACATGACACTACTAAGAGCTTCGCAGATATATATCCTGCAGTGTTCGACCCTGGATATCGGGATGTGAGTTCTTGGTCTTAGTAATGCAAATGAAGTACTAATTTCACCTAGGCGATCAACCAGCGAGGAGTGACAATTCCAATAATTACGAAAGCCATATCATCAATGTTGGCAGGAAACAAGGATCCATCCACCAATGCTAAATTAGCAGACTTGTTAGAGCTCACTCGCTCCCAGCACACGGATCACTTGACGATACAGCCTCAACTTCCAAGTTGCAGGAATGCGCTCCTTTCATCACTTTGGCGTGTCCTCCAGAAAAATGTGCCCAGGACAAAGCCTATCAAAAGACGTCCTTCAGTGTTCTTGACAGAGCGTCTATCAAGCGGAATTACTGGATCAGATGAGCCTGAGCGTCTCATTTCTACGGATCAACAACAGTCCAACAACGGAAACCTAGGACTACGTCGCTCCTTCCAAACAGAACATCATAACGACAATGAAGAAAGCGACGTGTATTTATTTACTAGCGAATCCGAGGGCCAGCTTTTGGACAATCTCAGCGAGGCAAGCTTCACAGACATCGGGGAATCGACTCAAACGTCCCTTGATACGTTGTTCTCAACAATTGGGTCTTCTCATACTTCATACGGTGGTCACGATACTATGCTTCTCTCGGACCAGGGTGAATTAGTGGATTATGCAGGGAACTATGTGACGGATTATGATTCTAGAGAAGACATGGAGGCATTCGATACGGACATTATAATAGCTGATGGCCTTTAGATTCTTTATATGATGTTATCTTTGCTTTGATATATAATAACACATCAATTATGATTATAGCTCTCTAAATGATTGAGTGTTAAGAAGTAGTTTTAGATGTTTGCTAGTGACTCCACGAGTTTAACCAACGGTGGATTGGTCCACGAGTACTTCCCAGACGTGAAATCCTCACTATTTGCCATGGGTGTCGCAATCAGAGAACCACAACAAAGGCCCTGAATCATTCTTCTAGTAAATTTAGCGATGCCTAGGTAATTTCTAAAAGATGCATGTTGCACAGGGAAATCTATTCTTGGCCATATCAGTGCTCCTGCACTCATGCCCAGAGAAATTTCAATTTGATTTAGTCACAAGCCGGGGCATTGTTGTAAACAAAACGCTGAAAGCAAAAAGCTAAACCCCAAAATCCAAAAGCGACAAGTCATCAAGTCCAAAATCCAAAACTCAAAAGGAACCTCCAAATTCACCAAATCCACCAACTTCTCCGTAGTCCAAAATTTTCCCAAAATTGTGTGTCCGTACCAAGATGCACACGAGAGTGTGGGCTTTGAAGCCGTCTAACGCCCCCAAGCAGCAACGTTGACATCGAGAGCAATTTGTTTCATCTCTCCGGGCTCGTAGTTTTTGATGAACTCCTCATCCAAGGGTCTGGCTTTGTGACCGGCATAAAGTCGGTATTCCTGGATGATATCCACAAGGTCCCATCCCTGGAGTCGGCGAAGGCAGCCAATGATACAGCCAGTTCGATGCTATTTGGGTATTTAGTCAGTATCGTAAGACATATATTATTAGAAATGGGAAAACTTACTTTTCCTTTGTTGCAATGAATGAGGATTGGGTGATTTTTCACATCGAGGAGCTTCTCCATGACGAGGTTGGCGTCTTTGTTTGAGGCATTATCCGCTTCATAGACTTTGTTCGTCTTGATTGGGAAGAGATAAACAGTGATGGAGTTTGCTTCAACGTACTCGCATTCGGCCCTGTAGTAAGGGGTATCAACGAGCTTACTATGCCGGTTATGTTAGCCTCGGATTAGCCAGTTGGAAGGAAAGTCTCTACATAATTGTCTTGACATCCATCAGGTTGGATGGAAGGATATACAGGTCTGGGGACCTAGATCTGTAAACCCCCGGTACAACCTCTCCGAAGTTGTTCACACGCTCTATCTGAGACATCGTATCTGTGGTAGATTAGCATCAAGAGTTGTTATTGATAGATAGCTAAGGCCGTGAACTTACTGATAGATGGAACGGATATCCTAATGGTGAAGTGAAGAACAGAAGGATAGGGAAGAGGAGGGGGAATACTTGGGCAAACCGAGGACTTCAGATTGTTATAGACATATGGCACAAAAAAATACTATACTTTCATCCAATAGATGCTTGCCTGGACAAGACACAAGATTTCATTTTAGTATTGATGTTATAGCTTCTGTTAAAGACGGACGTCAGACAGTGAAAGAAATAGTCTGCGAACATTATAATCTTCACATCTTGTATCTTGCGTGTAAATTGATGTCCGTGAATACAGACCTTTAGGTGTGAGGTCTGAACGGTACCTGTGGGATAGATAAAAGTCAAGACTTGTTATTGATCGGTAGATAGCCGAGACCATAAACTCACAGGTGAAGCAGACAAGTAGAATATGATAGTGAAAAGGAGTAGTTGATTCCCTTGAAGCACGTAGGTGCAATTCAAATACATATGCTTCATCTCAGAAACTTTCCCAACCAAATTTTACTATATCATCCTGGTATTAATTCCGTAGCTTCTGTTAGCCGAATATTACATAGTAAGAAGGTCAGTCTTTGTGCATGATCGGCATTCATATTGAGGCTTGGAAGCTGGATTTATAAATTATAAATTCCGGTCGTGACCTCTCCAAATTTATTGACGCTTGTAACATCAGACATGGCGAACTATGGGATGAACAATCGTCAAACCCGGTTATTGATCAGTAGCTAGCCGAGGCCGTGAACTTACAGATGGAAAATGGCAAAAGAACAGTTGACCCTGTTGAAATGCGTAGGTATGGTGAAAGAAGTGAAGGATAGGGATGAAGGGAAGGGGAGGGGTGGTACTTGAGTAAGCTGAGGGCTTTAGATCGCTATAGTAACAATACGAACAGACTGGATACAGATGAACGTTGATTGAATTCGCTTTGATATATTCACGCTCCGGCCTATTGTAGGGGGTATCCACAAGCTTGCTATATGGTTATATTAGCCTAGTATTAGACAGTCAGAAGGACAGTCTTTGTACGTGACCGTTTTGATCTCATTGAGATCGTTTGTTTGCAGATTCATTATTGGAAATGCTGATCGATAAACGCCGGGGACAACTTCCCCGGAGTTATTCGCGCGTGTCAAGTCAGATATAGTAGCTTTGGGAGAGATAAATGTCAAAATTTGTTATTAATCAGTATCTAGCCAGAACCGTGAACTCACTCACAATGTGTAGGTATGGTAGAGGAAGAGCAGGATAGGGAAGAAGATCTAGGTCCGGAGAGCCCGATCGAGATTCTGGGGACAACTTCCACGAAGTTGTTCACACCTGGAGGGTCAGACAATTGGAAGAACAGGCTGGGTATAGGAGAGTCTTAGCGCCCTTTAGAGCAGACTGGATGGAGTTCATGACCCGGCAATGGTAGCCTCTTTGGGGTTATACGACAGCGCCCGGTGTCATTGTGGTGACTTGAACGGTACATATATGTCTCTTTTACTCGAGCAGGTATATTGGAAAATTTGGAGTCAAGTATGGCGCCGATATGGATCCTATACTCGCAGTGTCCTATACCCGTAGTGTTAAATATTGCGTGTAATGTAGTAGAAGAGTGTGGAAGTTGAGAGTTGTTGTCTTGAATATCAAAACAGGACGCACTCGTAAAAATATTACATAATGGACACACAGCTGATGGCATGATTACAAAAACCGATGCTAACAGTGCGGTAGAAAGAGAAGTCGATGCGGGCGAAAAAGAGTGATCATAGCCAAACCAACGCCAAGTAGATGGATGAGGCTCCAGCCACCAGTCAGGTTGTAGTCCTTCAGGTGACTCGCAAAATCACAGTATAATATAAGATTCCATGTAGTGTTGAGCGAATTATTACAAAAATGGTGGGGGAGAGAAGAAGGATCACGATCTGTTGAGGAAGTGAGGCTGCTAATATAGCCAGTTGCAACCTAAAATACAAGGCACAAAGACAAACACCTCCGGGCCTGCATGAGGGAAGCAGTTGTAAGCTTCCAAACAAAGCTGGCTAACTGCTGGCAGTCGATGGCTTCGGATATGGTGACTGTAGGAGGGATTATCTGGGGCAGGCTTTGGGTAAGCGTAGTCTTGCCACTATATAAATTTTTCAGTAGGCAAAGAGCCTCTACTAGGATAGGTACCGTTTCCCATACCGTGGTAGCGACATATTCCTCCTTTAAGAGCGATTCGCTGTGCCTTCTTAACTCGCTGTTGCTGTACTCCGTGATATTCGGGACCAGGCCCCACTGCATGCTAGTGCTAGTACCATGATCAGATAAGCATCATTTCGTATCTAGTAGACATCATATCGACAAGTCTGATGTGTTCTCATGTTAGTGACAATATTGAGAAAGTATAGATGTATGTAAGAACGCCGAGAAAACTTGCGCAAGCAAGGGCACTACGCTCGAGATGGTGACCTCGTCTTCTGGTTTCGACGTTCCGAGTTTCTCATTGTTGTTTAGAAATATTTTGGATAAGGGATGCTGCTGGTGAGATGCATTATTGATGAGAGGGATGAGAAATTAAGGCCTTCTTTGCTGTGATAGATAGACTTAGAAGAACGGAGAAGGAAGATAGTCTCAAAAGATGCGGAAGCCCAACTCTAATGACCATAACAAATCCAACAAGGACAAGGAAGGCTGTACCTGAAGAAGATGACGCTGTGGCGAGAAGGCACGATAGGGTAAAATGAGGAATGAGGAAAGACCGAGTGAAGGGAGCAAAGTGAGGAAAGAACTAATGACAGCCAGGAATGACGTATGAAAAATACTACAGAAGTTAAGTCCGAGTTATTTATACCTCTACGGCACCTGGGCAACCAATATGGCTCACATTCAAAGATAGGTTTGAACTATGTTTTGATAGCGTGCCACAGAGCACGCATGCATTGTTCTTATCATCGACCCGCGGCGATACCAAAAAATCAAGGCGACTCCTCGCCCAATCCAAACATTCTAATAGAGTTGTTCCAAGCACTGGAGAGAAAAATGAGTTAGCATGGAGCCGAGCATCAGGAAGAATCAACATCTTACGCTTCACAAACTTCCTCTACAGTGATACCCTTGACGCTAGCAATAACATGAGCAACACGAGCGATGGCGACAGGCTCATTCCGGCCCTTCACCATACACCCCTTCTGCCATTTCTCCTTCTTCACAGCCTTCGGCAGATCCGGTGCACCGCCTAGGTGTTTTGCAGATGCATGAGACGGACGAATTTCACACTAGAAGAGAGTTAGCCACGAAGATCTGACTAGAGTTCAGAACAAAGTACATACCCATGGCCCATCAGTTTCGATTTGAAGTCGGTCGAGTGGAATAGCTTTGACAACCTCCAGATTCTCCTCGGTCTTCATACTGCACCCGTTAACACCGACGTCAAGACCCAGCGCAATCATCCGGTTCATTTCATCCATTGTCCCCGTGAAGCTGTGCACAAGTCCCCGCTTGGGAAGCTTGGCAAGCCTTGGGGCAAGGAGTCTCTCAAAGTCCTCGCTTGCAGCTCTGGAGTGGAGGAATAAAGGAAGCTGAATCTCAACAGCCAGGTCTAGTTGGGCCTCAAAATATTTAAGCTGGGGCTCTTTGGGGCTCAGGAACAATCGGTCATAATCAAGGCCGATTTCGCCAAATGCGACGGCGTGGCCGGATTGTGAGGATTCAATTGCTAGAGCGCGAAGCTCCTCCAGCATTTTTGACGGACCCTCTGGGTATTCGTCGAAGAGTTTTGCTTGGCATGGATGCACACCAACGGTTGCATAACAAAAGCCCGCTGCAGAGCCTCGTTAGTAGTAACAAAAGGGCAAGTCCTGGCAAGGTTGAAACTTACGGTATTTGCTGGCGACGTGGACAGCGTGCTTCGATTCTACAAGATCTGAGCCGGTTACCATGAACTTTGAGCAGCCTACATCACGAGCACGCTGGATAACGTCGTCGAGATCGTCTTCGTGTGCTTGCTTTCCGTGATATTCACCGCGGAAAACGGGATCACTCAAGTTGATACCAATCTAGTATTTCGCAGTTAGCTATGAGTTGCCTAGCATTTTGAAGGTGAGTGTTTTTAAGAAAATAGGACCCACATCAACATATCGGAGGGGTTTAGATTCAGCCATTTTTAATGTAGTCTGTTGTCTTCCAGTTGTGGAGACTGTTCTGGGATTTCCAGCAGTTATGGGATTTACAGAAGACAGGCCAGCCAAGCTGTGACTCCTATGAAAACCTACGAAATGAGTCAGCTCAATCTTTCCATGGACCATCCAGCCTTTGCGTTATTGGGCTAGTTGATAAGCTCGTATTTGGACGCGAAACAGACCTAACGAGACAGGTCTATCTATGCCTGTCGACCTCACACTCGAGTTGATGTTGCGGCGGAAAAGTTTAAAAGCACAGCCAACGGCAGAGTTGATTTGCATCAGATGAATAGAGTAATAAACCTTGTTATTGTGTTGATGAAATGCTTCCTCTGTCAAGCAAAATGTGTGTTGACTCACGGTCGGAAAACGTCCAGCCACACTAGGGCTGAGGCGTTTGCTGTGGCTGGTGTCCACTGATGCCTGAGAATCATGGCAGTGACTCTCAGGGACCAGGGACCAGGGACCCGCTCGGAGTGAAATCCGTAGTCCAGTCGGTGCTTTGCCGATTCAAGACACTTCAGAGTTTAGATGACCAGACCCGACTAGGTCTGTGTAAGCTCAGATTGAAAGCCAACATCTTGTGCTATCTTTAAAACAGCATTCATCTTTTGACATTTCTGTACGACAAACACGTGTGGAGTTGATTGCGCGAGACTCAACATTGATGAGACAATCTAGAACATGATGATGGTGATTCCTGACAACTTTATCTAAGACCAGCACATCACGCATATAAGTGTGGTTTCCATATACAGCACTTCCGTATAACGGCCTTAGAAGCTGTATGCTCAGACGAAGCTCGGGAAGCTTTGTCTCGCGCAGTCCGGAGTAAGTCCGGGGGCATTGCCGAAGACCATCCCCGCCCCAGATCCTTGCTGAGTATTTAGCTTGCTGTGGATGGCTAGTTCAATTTCGTATCTATCTCATTAATTCTCCTCCCTAGCTCCACATACAGGACCGGTGTCGCTTAATATCAGCCTCAATTCTTTCCCAGCTAATCCAAGAACCCCCACTTATACCGCGTGACAGCAATGCCAGACCAAAAGCTTCTATCCGCTCAACAGATCTCAGAGCACAAAACGTCCGAAGACTGCTGGGTTGTGATCGACAAGCAGGTGTGGGACGTGACCGACTTTTTGGAAGAGCATCCTGGAGGATCTGCAAGTACGTCACCGACAAATGCATCAGCCGAGGACGATATCTAATCTACGTCGCGAACAGTTATCCTAAAACATGCAGGCAGAGATGCAACGAAAGCCTATTCAGAAGTCCATGCACCCAACGTAATGAAGAACAATCTCAACCCGGAAAAGTTTAAGGGCACCCTCGATGAGTCTACAATTGACGCCGAGTGGGCCAAATCACCACCGGGGCAGAGTCCCAAGGTGGTACTAGAAAATGAGAAACCCCCGTTGGACACACTGATAAACTCGCACGACTTTGAGGTCGTGGCTTCGAAAACTGCCAGTAAGAAGACCTGGGCCTTCTACTCCAGCGCGGCTACAGATTTAATCACACGGAACGCCAATAAGTCATGCTTTGACCGCATATGGTTCCGGCCGCGAGTGTTGAGAAACGTCCGTTCAGTAGATGCCCGGACAAATATTCTCGGTGGGAGTTACAATCTCCCGCTATTCGTGAGCCCAGCAGCAATGGCAAAGCTCATCCACCCGGATGGAGAGTGTGCTATTGCCAGAGCCTGCGCAAAGAAAGGAATCATACAAGGAGTAAGCTTAAATCATGTGTTGCCATTCTTAATCACTATGCTTACGATGTGGGTAGATTTCAAACAACTCATCCTACACCATGGAGGAGCTACGTACGGCAGCACCCACGGCCGACTTCTTCTTCCAATTATACGTCAACAGGGACCGAGAAAAGTCCGCCGCTCTGCTGCGCCAGTGTTCAGCCAATCCGAACATTAAAGCCATTTTTGTTACCGTAGATGCCGCGTGGCCCGGTAAGCGCGAAGCCGACGAGCGCGTCAAAGCAGACGAGAACTTGTCAGTGCCCATGTCGCCATCGAAGGCGAATAACGACAAGAAAGGTGGGGGTCTCGGTCGCGTCATGGCTGGATTCATTGATCCCGGGTTGACGTGGGAGGATTTGAAATGGGTGAAACAGCACACGCACAAGCCGGTGTGTTTGAAAGGTGTGATGTCAGCGGATGATGCGCTGCTCGCCATGAAAGCGGGGCTTGATGGTATCTTGCTCAGCAACCACGGCGGTCGCAACCTAGATACCAGTCCGCCGTCGATTATCACACTCTTGGAGATTCACAAGCGCTGTCCGGAGGTCTTTGATCATATGGAGGTGTATGTGGACAGTGGTATTCGGCGTGGAACTGACATCCTGAAGGCGGTTTGTCTGGGCGCAACGGCAGTGGGCATGGGCCGGAGCATGCTTTTTGCTACCAATTATGGCCAGGAAGGAGTAGAGCATCTGATTGACAGTAAGTGATGGCTTGACATTCTGCTTTTATAATTTGCTGATTCAAGTTTCTCGCAGTCATGCAAGATGAACTGGAAACATCCATGCGGAATATTGGTATCACATCCCTGGCGGAGGCGTCCCCTGATCTCGTGCACACTGGGGATGTCGACCACCTGGTTCCAGCGTCCCACGAGCACCCGTACGCTCGGGCCATAGCTAAAGGACGGCGACCTGGGTCGAAACTTTGAACGTGCGAAGTTGAGTACAACATATGAATATGTTGTACTGGGATTGCAATGTCGGTCGACCAATCGCGTAGTGCGGGGATGTGACGATCTATGAACTTTTTAAGAGCTTATGATACTCCGTACAGCATGTATATTATGCTTGCTATACAGTTGTCCCCGGTAAAGCAGTAATTAGCGACCAATATACTAGTACCTGCCAAGTACTCCGTACAACCTAACAAAGACCACCTGATCTAAAACATTGTAGGGATGAAGGGGAATACTTTAAGCAGATTCTTGCCAAGATTTCTTGATGCTTGCCCAGGCCGGGTCCTTACAGCTATCGAATACCCCGAAGCCCCTGGCCACAAAACCAATATAAGCACAGCCACCTACAAGGTCTGCTGATCTCAACACGATGTCTTCGATCCGAACGTTCCGGGTACAATAAGCGATTGCGGGGTTGCAAAAAGCATGAATCTCAATGTTTACACGGACACGTAGCACCATACAAAATACGGAGTTAGATGATCAGGGATATGCATACATGGAATGATCGTGTATACCGTGTACAAAGTAGCACAGAGAATAGGTAAAATGTGTAGATCAATCGGAAGGCGGACGCAACTCCGAGTCTCACCGCTCCACTTATTAAAGGACTAGTCCAACACTAATTTGCTTCGTCTTGACTCATATTATTCTTAGAATCTATTGAGGTCCACTATCAGGTCATGGGATTCCTCAACAGTTGAGGATCGGCGATTAACCCCGGTATTCCCAAAATTGGATGTCCATTCTTGTTTGATGGCTTGCGTGCTTCCGGGGTGTGGTGCAGACCGACTCACCAGTTGAGAGAGAGAAAGGTGGGAGCGAATTGTAGGAACCAGTCACGATCAAGGGATTAGATGTCGATATGCATAAATGGAACCGTTTTTCAGGTATCTCCGACCGGATCCCCGTTTTTTTCCACTTTCCCCTAGGAGAATTGAATGAGGGGGTCCTACGTGGTACATCCTTGGAAAGTATGAGCATGATTACGGAGTAACTATTCGACAGATTACCCCATTCTGCAGGAAGACCACCAATAATGGCCGATATCTATGTTGGTGATTATTTCATTGGATGATCATCCAAAGAAGACGTAATGATCACCAGTTTCAGGAGTGTCGGTGGAAGAGGGAAGAGGGGTGAGATATACAAGATAGAAGTACAAAGTACAAAGTACTGGGGGAAGTGATGTACCGGGTACATCTGAGGATACATCTTGTCACTTGTTCTGGTGGGTACGGGGTAGCCTACAGTCCCGATCGCTGGGTACCTTGTACTTACGCCGTAGATCTCTGTCCGGGAGAATTGTTGAACTCAGCACATTCATAGCACATCCACGAGTGAAAGGTATATATAGAGGGGATTTATACATCTTGCCACAGCTTATCTTTTAGAAATCTCATTTTAAATTTCCCAATCTGTGAAGACTTTCACTGATACCCAGTGTTGACGTACTCTACTTTTTTTTTGGTTCGACACTATCGATAACGGGTCCAGACCGCCAAGAAGTGGCCTCATAGCTCTCCCCAACCATTCTCAGCTCTACGGAGTATAAAGCTCCCTATCGTCCTGTTCCCATATTTCCATACTCCTTTACTTCTCACTTTCCCCTTTTCCACTATACTTGGAGACCTCCGCCTCTACCCTCCCAACATAGCTCTATCTCAATAAGCTATAGCTTTATACACTTCACACCATCACAATGACTGCTCCCCGTTCATCATCTCTCCGCGCTCTGCGCACTCTCTCCCAACAGCCCGTGGCACCCTCTGCTCGCCGCAGCCTTCACATCACCGGAGTCCAGTCCGCCCAACCCGCCAACACCGGCGAGAAGACTCTCTCCAACCATGATGTCCTCCAATCCCGCGCCTTCAGCATCGCCATGCGCAGAATCAACGGCAATGCATTCTCAGAGTATGTCCCGCTCACTCATTCCATTCCATTATATTCTATACATCCACCCAAGCCTCTATTTCAAACCCTCAAAAAAAAAAAGAAACCCAAAACTAACACCCTCCAGCTCTTCTTCCTCCCGCCAATTCAACACCTCCCGCGCCACCAAAGCCCTGAACGACTCCTCAACCGTCGACTTCGTCTACATGCCTAGCATGGCCGACCTCGACGCCGCCCCTCTGCAACGCGGTATCCAAGTCCCGGTCCTTCCCGAGCTCCCCTCCATCCCATGGAGTCAAACACCCACCGCCCCACCCATGAAGCCCCAGATCTACGCTGTGTCCGGCACCGGCACTGACGTCCCCGCCAGCGCGATGA